GAAAAAATTGATAGCCATTTTTTTTCCTGAAAATGTAAGGCATGCTTAATGCAAACTTCTGTCATTTTAAGTTTAATAATATGTCTGCCAAGGCACCCTTGCTTAAAAATATAATAAATAAAACATTTAATTTGTCACATGTCACTAAATCCTCAATGACTTGGTTTGGAACTATAATTACCCTTAAAGCTCTCTCTGTGTGAGGTTTCTATTTTATTGCATGCTGTGGCATGATTTTTAAACTATGGGTTCCCCTCACCCACTACCCACAACCTTAATGTATTCTGTTTGCTGGCTACAATACTTCTTTTGTAGTTGCTCACCTTGACACCAATTCACTTATTTTTATACACATATTTATACCATTTTGAAAGTAAGGGGTCTTTTTATAAGAATCTGAGGTGAACAATCCAAAATCCTTACTTTGGAGCTGTCTTGTTACCAAACTCACTTGAACTATACTAAATGGTTTGAGGACTGCAGTTTACTGAACTGTACTCACCAGCGGCTGCATGCTTATAACAGTGGAAACAGTGCCTTTTCACAGAGATTTGCTAACTCCACAAACAAACAGGGTTAATGCATAACCTTACTGCCTGATCATCAGCCTTGCTTTCAGCTGCAGTATAAAGAAAGTGTTCTGAGTACAGATTTACATGAAAATGTCTATCCCACATTTCTGGTATTTGCATACCACTCATGGCAGCAGCCAAGCAATTAAAGCCAGCTGTTTTAAAAAAATACAATACCCTGGGTCAATTTCAGTAGAAAAATACAAAGGTAGTGCTATAGATAGAAGTGGAAGGTAAAAACATGCTGTCCTGTCTGCTCTGAAATGCCTCTTGTGAATAAGAGGATACTCCTGGGTAAGATTCTCCTTACAAATAGACCTTTCCTCAGGCAGTCTGGATGGCCTCCAGCTGTGGCCCAGGTAAAATTCTGAAAGTACAGGCTTAAAAGCACTCCGTTAAAGCCAGAGAGTTGCTAAAATAATGATCTACAGGGCTATCTTGTTCTATGAAGGACCCGGTGTGGGTAGGCTTTCCTTCAGACCTTGCTCTTGGTCCTGTTGCTTGTTGAATTCTGGTTTTCTGTATTCGAACCACCTGAAGCAAAAATGCATATCTAACAGATGAAACAAAAAGCTTTCTATACCATTCCTGGCATAGATTCCCTACTAGGGCAAGCAAACCAAGTCCCAAACCAAGAACTGAAAGTAAGTTGAAATACACCTAGAACCCTTGGAATTGAAATGCTCTCATTTATTTATTTATAACATTTTTATGCCACACCCATCGCCGAAGCCTCGGGATGGCTTACAAAGAAAATAAACAAACAAAGAATAGAATAACTAAAAATTTGGAGTTTCTCGGTGTCCGTGAAATAATTTAAAACCACAAATAAACAACCAATTAACAATTAAAATATCATTTAATTCGGCTTCGGCGAATGGGGCGGCATAAAAATGTTTTAATAAATAAATAAATAAAAATTTAAATAAAAAGGTCTTGGCCTGGCACCGAAAAACAAATAACAACGGCGCCAGGCAGACCTCTCTGGGGAGCGCATTCCATAGGTGGGGCGTCACTGCAGAGAAGGTCCTCCTCCGGATACTCACCCTCCTAATATCCTTCACAGGGGGCTCCCGAAGAAGGGCCTCCCCCACCGATCTCAGGGGGCGGGAGGGCATGTATGGACACAAGCGCTCCTTTAGATAACCAGGTCCCAAGCTGTTGAGGGCTTTATAGGTGATAACCAACACCTTGAATTGGGCCCGGACTTCAATGGGGAGCCAGTGAAGCTGATGGAGAACTGGGGTTATATGAGAACAATGCCCAGTCCCCGTCAGCAACCTGGCAGCTCTATTTTGCACCCATTGAAGTATCCGGACCGTCTTCAAGGGCAGCCCCATGTAGAGCACGTTACAGAAATCTAATCGGGAAGTTACCAATGCATGTGTCACAGTTGCCAAGCAGTCATTCTCCAGGTAGGGACGCAGCTGATGGATCAGCCGAAGCTGAAGGAAGGCACTCCTCACCACCGCTGTTACTTGAGCTTCCAAGCTGCGAACCCTGTCCCTCGGAGCGCAACCCCATTCAGGACAAGGTCCAGGTCCCCCATCCCGAAGCCCGACCCACCTACCAACAGGACCTCCGTCTTGCCTGGATTGAGCTTCAGTTTATTGGCCCTCATCCAGCCAAATACCTCGGCCAGGCACCAGTTCAGTACAGACACCATCTCACCTGGATTAGTTGAGAACGAGATGTAGAGCTGGGTATCATCAGCATACTGATGATTCCACAGTCCACACCTCCTAATGACCTCTCCCAGCTGTTTCATGTAGATGTTGAATAGCAAGGGGGACAAAATGGACCCTTGCAGAACTCCATGGCATAGCTGCCATGGCACAGAGCCATAGTCACCCAGCACCACCATCTGGATCGGCCATTGAGTTAGGAGCGGAACCACTGCAAAGCAGTGCCTCCAACTCCCAATCCGCAAGCCTGTCCAGAAGGATACCATGGTTGATCGTATCAAAAGCCACTGAGAGGTCCAGGAGAACCAACAGGGACGCACTCCCCCTGTCCTTCTCCCTGCACAGGTCATCATACAGGGCGACCAAGCCAGATGTTAGACCGTGCCCAGGTCTGAAGCCGGACTGAAATGGATCCAGATAATCAGTTTCATCCAAGAGTGCCTGGATTTGTCCCACCACCACCCGTTCTAACACCTTGCCCAGGAATGGGATATTGGCCACTGGTCTATAATTGGTGGCCATCTCTGGATCCAGGGATGCCTTCTTTAGGACTGGCCGGACTACCGCCTCCTTTAAAGGGGCAGGTACCCGGCCATCCCTCAGAGAGGCGTTGACGACCTCCAGGATCCAGGTCCCAATCCCGCCTTTGGCTGTCTTGAGTAGCCAAGATGGGCAAGGGTCCAGTAAGCAGGTGGTAGGACATACCTGTCCAAGCACCTTGTCCACATCATCAGGCCACAACAATGAAAACTCATCCATCAATTGTGGACCAGACTGTAGTATTGGCACCTCTCCAGTAGGATCTGATTCAATAGTAGAGTCCAACTCGTGACGAATCTAAGCGATTTTCTCCTGGAAATGCTTGGCGAAGTTGTCACAGCGGGCCTTCGAGGGTGGCACGAGATCTTTCTTTGGGCCCGGATGTACCAGCCCCTGTACCACCTGAAAGAGCTCCGCCAGACGGCATTGTGAGGAGGCAATGGAAGCGGAGAATTTCTTCTTCGTCACCCTCACCGCCACAGCATAGGCCCAATAATGGGCTCTCAAAAGTGTTCGGTCAGATTCATCCCGTGATTTCCTCCACCTACGCTCTAGATGTCTCCCAACCCGCTTCATCACCCGTAATTCTGAGGTACACCAAGGGGATGAATGGGCTCTGCCAGGTGGGAGAGGATGCTTAGGAGCGATCGTGTCAATAGCCCTGGTCTTTCCCCATTCCATAGTTTGGCCAGAGCTTCGACAGGAACACCAGCCTTATCAACTGGGAAATCCCCCAGAGCCTTCAGGAATCCATCCGGATCCATCCGGTCCAGGGATGGACCAGCACAATTGTGTCCACACCCTTACAGAGGGAAAGGCCGCTCTCAAGCTCAAAGCTCACGAGGAAGTGATCTGACCATGACAGGGGAGTCAGACACCCTCAGAGCACCCTCTTCCTGCCCCGTTGAGAAAACCAGGTCCAGAGTGTGTCCATGTTCATGGGTTGGGCCAGTGATGTGTTGAGACAGCCCCATGGCCACCATGGAGGCCATGAAGTCCTGAGCCGCCCCGGTCAGAACCATCTCAGCATGGAGATTGAAGTCCCCCAGGACCAGCATCCTGGGAGTCTTCAACACCAAATCCGAAACAATCTCATCAGCTCAGGCAGGGAGTCTGTTGGGCAGAAGGGTACATGGTACACCAACAGAATCCCCAGTCTGTCTCAGTCGCCCAACACCAAGTAGAGGCACTCTAGACCCGGCCTCGAGGGGACAAGAAGCCCCGTGAGGGAAATAGAGGCTCAATAAACCAAAGCAACCCCCTTCCCTCCCCTCCAGGCATAGACGGTGCTGGACCAGATACTCGGCGGGCACAGTTGAGAGAGGGAGACGCCCCACCCCGTCACTCACCCAGATCTCTGTAATGCAAGCCAGGTCGGCCCCCTCATCCACAATCAAGTCATGGGTGAGGGAAGATTTATTGTGGACCAACCTGGCATTAAGCAGCAGCACCAACAGACCCGGGGGGTGGTTGACAGGACTACCTGGAACCCTCAGGCTGGGGGAATAACCAGAAGGAGGAACAGGTGCTAGCCAACTGTCCCTCCTTCTTCTACATGGACACGTTAGACCCCCAACACCATAACGTCCATTGCCCATAACCACCCCAATGGCGGCGCCCATGCGTTCCCCAGGCAACCCCATATCAGTAGCCGAGAATAACTCCATTGCAAATATAAGCTAAAACACATTAAAAACACCTAAAAACACTTAAAACCACTTAAATCCCCCCAGCACATCCCAGTCCAATTTACAATCCCACCCTCCAGCCAACAACATAGCCCCTGGCCAGCCCAGCCCCCGCACGGCTCCCAAACGGCGGCGACCGCCCTTTGGCCATCACCCTTCGGCTGCCGGCCCAAGGCCTCCGGTGCCGGCCATGTCTGACAAGATAAGCCGGCTGTCCGTCCCCACGCCCTGCCTCCAATCCGTCGTGGCTCTCACCCAGCATCGGGGCGGAGAAGCAGGGAGGGTGCATGGCACTCACGGCCCCCGCCGGCCGGCAAGATGGCGGCGTCCTACCCGGCAGCAGTGTCGTCAGCCGTCGACTGGCCTGGTGTCCTCCGGCCCCAGGTGGGTCCAGTGGTGGCCACAGGGGGCGGCATCAGCCAGCCCCCAGGGTCCAGTGGAGCGCCCGCGGTGTTTCCCCAGCTTTGCGGCGGTGGCACAGTGGCAGCAGATGGTGGAGGGAGAAAGCGGGGAAGAAAGGCCCAGTTCCCTCATGTTTCCCCAAAATGGAAAATTAAAGTATGTTTGAAATTATCCAACATAGTTTGATCCACAGAGAATTTCTTTAACAAGAGCTTCAAATAGACATTTAGAAACTGGGTAGTATTCTTCCTTCCTTAAAAATGCACTTAGGACTTTCTATATCCACTTGAGCAGACTCCCACTAGTTGCTTTAATCGGATAGAAAAAACATGGAACACATGGTTGATCTCACATTTGTAAAGCTGCTCAAAAATAAGCATATCTATCACAGCAGTATAAGCAGCACCAAAGGTACATAATTAGGTTCTATGTGATCATGGATCTGAGTTTGAATAGATCTGAATGATAGTTTTGCAAAGTCTTTAGTAAAAATGTAACGGCAAGCAAATGAGTAATCATTAACTTTTTACCAGTCACCATGTTGCAGATATTTTGTACTTATGATCCATGATGTATCCTGAAGATTCTGTGCTCCTTGCTGATGTTCCTGTAAGATAAATACTTTCTCCCCAAGAAATGTCCCATTCCCACCCTTCCTACATAATTATTCTTGTATTGTTTGAAAAGTGTATCAGAGAGAGCTTCAAAAGGTTGTTAAGCTTTGGTTCAGTGATAAAGTAGGTCAGTAGCTATACCCTAACATCCATATTTTTACATGATGTTCAACCAAAGCCTGATTTTTTAAAATATTTTCCAGTCCCACTGTAGGTCTGTGCAAAGCTGGATTATATTATTGAATGTGAAATTTTATCCTGTCCATGCTGGTGCTGTGAAAGTAATCCTGATTCAACGAAGTGTATGTTTGTTGATTAACTTAGACTTGATTATATCTGCCCATAATTCAGAGCACAGTGATTCCTCATATTCTTCCTTTACTATAGCTACACAATCTTTTTGTGGTAGTGAGCTGGGTAGAAAGTATGGTGTTTATGTTCCATCTTCTTAGCTGCCAGCCAAGTAATATACAATGCATGACATTTTATATCCTTTGCCTTGCTAGATAGCACATTCTTGTTGGAAAACTTCAGCTTTTTCTCTTCTTTAAAGTATTTGATTCAAGGGAGAACTGCTAAGTAAAAATTCAGTCTGTAAAAATGCTGTGGAGCAAGTTTCTCGAAGTTCTTGAGCCAATGGATACTAAATTCCTATGCACAGTTCCATTCCAGTCGACTAAGTAGGTCTAACTTTTCAGTGGATAAAAGCATACATTGGAGGTTAGTCATTTTCTCATCTTGACGTTCCTCTGGTAAGGTTGACACAAATGTATCTGAAATCTCTCGCAATTATTACATCTTGAACATGAAAAAAAATTACACATAAGGTTTCATAGAAATGCCAATAAATCATCCATTGCAGTAGTGTATGAAGTTGTGCAAAAAATGAACAACAACATTAATTACTCATGTTTAATTAATGCTATTATCGTTTACTGTTCCCTCAAACAGGATAAAGGGAAGTCAGTCCTGTTATTTTCATCCTTATACATTTAATAATATTGATGCAGATTAGGGATATTACTGATGCATTGTGCACCATTATGTCTATTGATTATTGAATAGCTATGATACAACACATATTAAAGCATCATGAATATCATTACAAGAAAAATGGCTTGCATGCAGATCAATCACATTATTAGAGAATGAGGCAACAGCCTGTTACAACAGCCATTGATGGTGTATTTGTTATCAGCAATTCTTTCTTTCACCACTCCTTTAAGTTTTGCAGCATAGATGGAAAGGACTGGGTTGGTTATAAGAGGAATGGTGCACAATGAATTGTATTAGACTCTGGGAGAAAACAGAGTGTGGAATTTGTAATGTGTATAAATTTTTGGCCAAAGGGAATGGGTATGTAATAGATTTTGCTAAATCCATCCTATCTGTGTATAGCAGATTGTCAGAAACCCCCTTTTACACCATGCACTCTTAACTGGAATCAGATTTTTGCATAAGAATTTCATTGGTGGCAAATCAATTTGCATACAAGTGACAAATCTCTCACCCACCAAAAAAACTAAGACTCTGAAAAACTCCAGAATCCATGTGGCTTGGTAACACTTGGTCTGTCATAGGATCTGTGGATTGGATTTATTTTGTTAAAAACTGTGTTTGGATCTATTGTGAATGTCTTCAGTATTCCTGCTACTGGGCAGTGGTGGTGGCTTGTGACCAGTAGAAAGTTTTTGGACAACAGAAAGAGCAAGGCAGGCCGCAATGATGTGCAAATGTTGAAGGGCAAACAATTGCAGGTAAAAAGGAGGCAGATAGTAGAGGACTAGCAGCAGCAGCGAGCTGCAGCACAGGATGAGGAGGTGGTTCCTAGGCTGCAGTGGTGCCTGAAAAACGGTGTAGGAGATGCACACTGCAGAAAAGTATTCCTGGAAATGAGTCTCTGATCCTGCCATTGCCTCTCATCAACACCCCAAGAGTATCACTAAACTATTCCAAGTTTTAAAATCTGGGAACAGAAAAAGGGTATCAGTGTGTTTGCATGCTCCTCCAATTCATGTTCTGAAAGCTGTCATGCCTATGCTAATTAGTATAAGTAAAAAATAAAAAAAAACTGTAAATGAAGTACTTTTTCTATTCCTTGTGTAAACATGTATTATAATGACATATTTGGAACTGCAAAACTGATCTGAATAAATTAATATAATATTTAAGAGAAACTGTTCCTGATTTTTTAAAATAGAAAATCTAGAGAAATTTACCTGAACATATAACTAAGATTTATTAAAGGATCAAAAACCCATATTGTACTTTTCTCTTGCACAAAGATGGACTTAGAGTTACAACACCCTTTCCACTACTCAAAGGAAAGACAGATGTGTTGAAATAATGTGTAATCTTCACAAACCCCAGTGCTGCAATTAGCACCCTCAGCTCAGTTCTTTATTATGGACTATAAATATTGTTTCACGAACTGCAACATTCAGCATGTTAGAATGATCTGAAGGTTCCAGCTACAGTGATATAGTATTATTGCAGTAATGAAGATACAATTCTCCCATGCAAGTAATCCTCTTCATTTACATATTGGCCTTTTTTTCTTGCAACACCTTTACTCATCATGCTTGTTTCTGAAAATGTTGAATTGCTGATAAATTAGTATGCATGCTACTGAAAAGCATTTCTAAATACTTCTATTTATTTCTCTGATGTTTCTTTCATGCTGCCTCCAATTATATCTGTAGTTGACTTTAATCTAAAAACCTTGATTCCATATTGTTTCATTTCTTCTGCAGCTGGAAAAAGCAGCTTGAACCAAATACTAAGTCCATCCTCAATTTACTTTGCCCCATAAAGCAATCAGTCCTAATAGTTATTTGTAAAACTGTAACTGCATTTTTATTTTTAGTTAGTCAAGATTTGCTTTCAGCATTTTTAATGGCCAGAATGCAGGTGAAGGAAAGCTCATGCTGAATCTGACTGGACACAGGTTGGAGCTCATTATTGTACCTGCTCCGTGGCAGTGGCAATGGGAAAGGAAGAGGAAGTTTTTCCCACCCCCATTGCATTTTCTTGGTATTGTTCACTGGAGATTTTCTGTGTGGCTCATGGCCGGCTAGAATCTAAATCAAGGACAGAAATGGTGGGTGTCCTCTACTAGAAGACGGATGGGAGGAGAGTGACCCTGTTGATTTTCTTGGACCTTTCAGTGGCTTTCAGTACAATCAACTATGATGTGCTTTTAGGGTGGGGGGTGGAAAGTTCAGAGTTGGAAGCACTGCAGTGCTGCAGTTCCGTGCCAAATGGACAGCTGATTCCAGAAGGTTTGCCCAGGGTCATGGCACTTACGGGGTTGCTCAAAGCTCAGTCTTAGCCCCCATGTTATTCAGTGTCTGCAAGAAACTGATGGGGAGGGTTATCCAGGCAGTTTGGGCTGAAGTATGATCAATAGCCAGCTCTGTTTTTTATTTCATCACATGCAAGTGAGGCAGTGGATGTTCTGAATCAGTGCCTGGACATAATAATAAACTGGTTGAGGCCAGTAAACTGACACTTGATCCAGAGAAAGCATAGGTACTGTTAGTGGGTGTTTCACCTGCCTAAATATGTGATAATCAGCTGGTTCTGAAGGGTTTTTCACCCCCCCCCCCAAGAATCACATTCATAGATAAGGGGCACTACTGCAGTCAACGTTGTCACTAAGGACACAGGCGGACTCAGTGGCATGAAGCACCCTTTATTGACTTAGGTTGCTATATCAACTGCATCCTTATTTGGGCAGAAATAGCCTAGCTACTCAGCTTAATTATTGCAGTGTCTTGTATGCATATTTGTAGTGCTGCCTTTCGAAATGGCCAAAAACTTTAGCTGGTCCAAAACAGAGCAGTAAGATGGCTAATGGGCACTGGCCAACATGTTAGCTTATGCAATGGTTTCCATTCCTTCTCCAGATTTGACTCAAACAATCAAATGGCTTGGATCCAGGTTACCTGAAAGACTGTCTTCTCCCATGTATAAGTGCCTAGACCCTAAGATCATCTTTATGGTCTTTCTGTGGAATTCATTGCCACTGGAAGTCAGTCCAGTGGCTACTAAGAAAATCTCTTCTGTTGTGGCAGCCCCACTGTGAAATGGATTTTCCAGAGAGGCTCACCTGACACCTATATTGTACCCTTTCTTATTTTCCCAGTCTTTTTAGTCTTTCAGTATGTGTTTTCAATCAGTTACTATATTTTAAACCCTTGTACAGCTGCTAGGATTTATTCTGACTAATCATACTTCTCAAAATCTCTGTGTGTTTTCTTGTATGAACTGTCACAATATTATTCTGACTAACAGAAATTTGTCTTAACGGATACAACTGTTGTGGAGTGGACATTTGTGACAGATGGCTTCTGGTACTCAAAGAGCCTTTCCCTAGCTTATTAGTTCAGCCACCTCTCCTCTTTCTACAGCATCCACCTGACCTTCCTGTGAGACCTGCTCAGTGGCCTTCAACTCTCTTCTTTGTCTCTGACGTCCCTGATTCACTGTCTATTCTTTCAGATCAGTTATAGCAGTTAATGATCCAGGGCATATCCCTAA